CAAAGAAGTCGCACCTTGACTTGGCATATTGCTCCCAACCGAAGACTCACGTTAAGCTGAAAATACCAGCTGACAAACTGCATATTGTGTAGGCCCTGATGAAGACCCATCAAACGGACCTGCTGCTTATGCCAGTAAATGATCACACTGGCGGGTTGTCATTTCCCACGTAAGCCTATACTTGTCAGCTCTCATAAGCTGTCAGTCGCAGGGGACTGGAAATCCAAGAGCCTCAGACCCTTCTGAAGCAGATGATGTCCTAATGGACGCAACCTATCGGTCCATTCTTCCCTGTTCTGATGTTTTCTCCTTATCTCCATGCTGCCCCACCCTGGCTTTTATTCCTCATCCAGTTCTGATTCACTTTTCCTCCTCAGTTGTAGTCACCAAGCCTTCTTCACTGATGGGGCATAATTACTGCAATCCTTCAGAGCCCACAACGTGATTGAGCTCTCAGGGTCTTTGCTTAGCACCGCAATCCGTGTTGGCTTCCAGGGTTGTAGAGAGTGAAACTAAGTTTGGAAACATGCACACGCTCACCTAACCGATGTCACTTCCACACAAACTTCTGTGTAAACAGGTATTCCAAAAACTTACATTTAGGCCAAATATCAGGAGAGTAGAACAGCAAAAAGTGAAGCCTTAAAACAAGCAGAACTTCCCTACAAAGTTTCAAGCTTGTGCTTTAAAACAAGGAGGCACTTGAACCTCCCAATGGAATAGCTGTATATTTTAATCATGTGCCTGGCCAATCAGCATTTCTTTCTATAACTTGATTTTATAAGTGTGATACTGCCAAAGCTTTCCAAAGTCCAGCCAGAGCCAAACAGCCAGTGCAGAAAAAAAAAATTCAGCCTACAGAAACAAATTTTGCAGGAGCAGCAACAAAAAAATGCCTTGTAATGAGAAATATCGCATAATTGCATCTATGGACGAAGTCGACAGCTCTGCCCATGATGATAAATGGCAAAAGAAAAAAAAGCCAATTTTGCTTAGAGGCACAGGTCAACTGAAAGAAAAAAAACCCCAAACCTTCAGGAAAACAACCCCCAAAATTGAAGTATTAATACAGTATTTTCTTGATGGTTTGATCCAAATGAATATGCCAATGACTTTCAAGCCTGACATATTGTCCTACTAACAGGGCAATGCCTGCCAGGCCAGCAGCCTACTAGAAAAGCCTAAAAAAATCCAGTGTCTCCATTTTGGCCTAGATTTGGACTGTAATTTCTGTCATGAGGACCGAGTGTTTTGTTTGTAGAAGTCAGTTTTTTGCTGGTGACTAGGTCCCTGTGCTGAGCACAACAATCCATCCCTACAGACAAAGTTGAAAAACAAGGACATTACACAATTTGGATATAATTGTCTTTACGGCATTAGTTGCTGCTGCATGCACCAACCTCTGACCCTCAGCTGCTGCAGGATTTAACATTAAGGAATGCAGAGTATCACTGATTTAAACGTACTTATTTAAATCATGCCCATTTCAAGAGACTGGATAGTCCCCAGCTATCTTCAAAAATAACTTCAGGTGTATGTTACCATTAGCTCTAACTGTAAAAACAATGCAGCAGACTGTAAAAAAAGAGACATAATTGTGGCCCTGTAACAGAGTAAGCTTCCTGCGCTGCTAGTTAACCACTGGTGATGCAGCACCACTACCACCTCCTGGAGGAGCCAAGCACAGCTGCAGGATGTGCCAGTGTCTCTTCCCACAGGAAATTCGTTTGCCTTGAAGACTCGAGGCCCCTTCATGAGCCCCAAGGCATGCCCAGCTGTACTGGTTACTAGAAACCTCACCTTCCCAACAAAATGTGGCATTCGCTGCAGAGCATCACCGCTCCCGCTACGCTAACTGCGGCCCCACAGCACCGGCACAGTGAGAAAATCTCGAGTTACACCAATCTTCCCCAGTTGCTCCCCAAGTACAGTCATGTCTGTCAGACAGCTTCCCGCTAGGAATCACAGCTGAAAGCCTCAATGCTAACCGCAACAGAGTTTGGCTTAGATAAAAGCCGATCAAGTTGCCCTTTCTTGCTCTTACTTAAGTTAGGGAAACAAATTCTACAGCATTTGTGATGAAGAATTGTCTTAAATTTACATGCCTTCATTTGGCAATAAACAAAACTAAAATTCTGTGCATCTTACATGACAAAATGTGATAGACAAAATCCAGTAACATGGTATCAATTACTTTGTAGTAATAATATTACTGCAGGATAACTTTATACTCTGTAAAGAATACAGCTCAGTTCTACGAATACACTGTAATACCGCACTACAACATATAAACCGCCCATAAATTGTAAGGATTTATGAAGAGATACAGTTCTGGTAGCTACTCTGCTGCCCATGGGTGAGAGGAAAGTGCTGGTTGCAGTCAGAATCGTTCAGATTCAGCACAAACATACCCGAACCTGCTTTGATCTCCTAACACAAAAAGAACAAAGTCTTGACAACTGGATGTACGTTGTTTTAAATAGTGCTAATGTGCTATTATGCAGATTTCCCTCCAAGCGCCAACCATTTCATGAGCTGTAAAACATATTGTTTAAAAATTGTAATCTGTAAGACAGGAGGAAGAAGTCCTGCTTATACCATGTTTTTCCTCAATAGAGTATAAAAGAGCTGCTTCTGTCGAACAGAGAAAAAAAATCTCTATTTTTGGGTGAAGACAAATCTAGTTTTAAGGAGGCAATTAATGAGAATTTTCACTTTGTAAGAGTTAAGGATCAGTGGTTTCAAGATCTAGCTTGTCTTCCTATACGTAGCAGCACATGCTTCAACGACAGCATGTGTTGAAATAGCTTCTAAAAAGGCGCTATCCTGATCTGAAGAAACCAAGAGAAAAAAAAAAACCCCTCTTAAAGATGACTGTACCTTTAGCTTTCAGTCAACTGGGTGTTGCAATGTTTTAATGTTTTGAGTACTTCATGCCATTTTCCTTTCAAATTAGTCACATGTTGTAATCAAATCACCTCCTGGTCCTCCTTTATGAGCTGAAGAGATGGGGTGTTTTGGCCTTTCACTGAGAGAAGGGTGTTTTCTCCAGCCATCGAATAAAGTTGGTGGCTCTTTTTAGAAGCCTGAAGACCCCATAAAACTCCAGACTCTAGAGCCATGTGCCATTTCAGTATTAACTCTCACCAAAACTTTTATAAAGTAAAATATCTCCTTATGCTTGCTCCCGCTGATGCAACCATAGCAATGTTCTCCTTTTTGCTGTTGTTTCCTTTGGAAATACCTGGATGCTATGTGCCTCCTCAGTCCCTCTCTGTCACTTCAGTCCTGCAGATACAGCCTAGGTTTCTTGTTCTGAGAGGTGAAGTTGAAATTGATGGTACGAATGTGCATTTTAACTCACAGGTATGCTCACAAAGTCACTAGGATTGCTCTGTATCAACGAATTTGTCCCTCTTTTCAACAGTCGCTGATCTGTCCACAAAGTCTTACCAGAAAATGTTTTCTGTCTCTATTTCTAGTTTATTAATAAAAATAGTAAAAAGATGCTACTGTTATCTTGTTACACTTGGTCTCATCAATCAGCCTGTGAACAGCGCCCAATAATTTCTGCACTTTAATTACCAAATCACACGCCAATATACAGAACTGTGTTTGATCCTCGGTCAGGATATCCTCTGAGGACACAACCCGAGCGTTGCAGAAGGCATTAGATGTATTTCCCCCTTAGTATGTAAACAAACCCGAAGAGGCCGGGTGAAGTCATCTTCCTGCTGGACCCCACACGCTGATGACCACGAGGCGCAGGATGTTTGCAGGCGACGCTGATCCTCCTGGTAATGCTCAGAAACCTGTCAGGCGCCTGCTTAATTCGTCTGGCTCACAGGCTCAAGGCCAACTTAATTAACGGATTTCCACCAGGAAGTTTGGTTTTTTGTTTTTTTTTTTGATTCCTGTGACGGGCTTGAAGAAGCCACTGAGCTTTTCCTCCCCCTTCCTTCTCCTGTTGTAAGACCAAATGCCGAGACTTAACTCTCTTCTAAATTGTTTGCTAGCAGGGTTTGCGCGGTTCTGGTTACCGCTTCAGCCGCCGGGGAGCGCCGCGGCTGACAGCCTCCAGGAGGAAGGCGTGAGGGGGGGCACCCC